GGCGAACTACGCGGCGAACTACGCGGCGAACTACGCGGCGAACTACGCGGCGAGCTACGCAGGGAGCGCCGCGGGCACTTTCCAGCCCTACGAGAACTGCGGCGCGCTGCACGCGGGCTGCGAGCGCGAAAGCGCAGCTACCGCCGCGTACTGCGCGAGAGGCTACTGCGGCGCAGAGCTCGGCGCGCCGGCTGCGGGCTACGGCTTCGCGCCTGCCCGCGCCGCCGACGCCGCGCAGCACTTCCAGCGCACCGCGCCGCAGAGCTATAACTTCGTGCCCGGCGCGCAGAGCGAAAGGTTCATTTAGTTGCGCGCGCGCTAAATTCGGTCCAACGTCGGGATGCCCAAAATCTCGAGCGTCTGGCGCAGCGTCTTGGCGCAGCAAGCGACCAGCTGAAAGCGCGGCTGCTCGTGCTCGGAGTTCTTGACCCGGCAGTTCTCGTAGAACTCGGAGAACAAGACGCAGAGCGAGTAGGCGAAGTCGCACAATTTGTGCATGGACAGCGTTTGCGTCGTCTCGTCCAACGCTTCTTCGAAGCGCGCGAGGTGCAGCAGCAGCTTGCGCTCGGGCTCGGAGGCATGCGCAAGCGCCGCGGCCGGCGCGCAGTGCGTCTGCGGGTCCGCAGCCGCGTCGACCGTCCGCATCACGGACACCATGCGCGCGTAGGTGTAGAGAATGTAGACCGCCGTGTTGCCTTTGCGCTCCAGCATTTTGTCGTAGTCGAACGAGTAGTTGCTGCTGCAGACTTGGTTCATGTCGAAGTACTTGAGCGCCGCAATGCCGAGGGTCTTCGCCACAGCGTGCAGTTCGGCTTCGTCACGCTGCTCGGTCTCGCCGCGCTGCTGCGCGCGGAGCACGCATTCTTCGAAGGCGCGCCGCTCCGCTTCGTCCAACAGGTCGACGAGCCGCACAGTCTCGCCGCTGCGCGTGCGGAACTTTTTGCCGTCCGCGCCGCACACGAGCCCGAGCCCCACATGGTCCGCGCGGTGCTTCGTCGGCTGCAACCAGCCGAGTTTGCGCGCAGCCTGGAAAATGCCGAGAAAGTGGTTGCGCTGCCCTAGGTCGGTGACGTAAATGACCCAGTCGAAGCGCTCGGTACACAAACGGTGACGGATCGCGGCCAGGTCCGTCGAGTCGTACCCGTAGCCGCCGTCCGCCTTGGTCACGAAGAGCGGGACCTCGTTCAAGTTGATTTTTCCCTCCGCCTCGAGAAAGAAGACCATTGCGCCGTCGGCCTCGCTTAAGAAGCCTTTCCGTGCGCACTCGTCCGCGACGCTACTCAGCTGAGAGTTGTAGAACGACTCGCCGCACAACTCCAGGTGCACGTCGAGCCGCTCGTAGATGCTCTCAAAGGCGCTAGTCGATAAATCCACGAGCTTGCGCCAGTAAGCGAGCGAGTCTGCGTCGCCGGACTGCAGCAGCACGACGCGCTTGCGCGCGCTTTGCTTGAACTGCTCGTCGGAGTCGAAGCGCGCCTTGCTCGCCTTGTAGATCGCGTTCAGCTGGCTCAGGCTGTACGTGCTGCTGAAAAACTCCGGCTCAAAGCGCACCAAGTGCTCGATGATCATGCCAAACTGCGTGCCCCAGTCGCCGACGTGGTTGATGCGCCGCACTTTGTGCCCGAGAAACTCGAGCAAGTTCGACAGCGCAGCTCCATGCACGGTGGATCGCAAATGCCCGACGTGCATTTCTTTGGCGATGTTCGGGCTCGAGAAGTCCACGCACACCGTGAGAGGTTCTGCGCGCTGCACGGCCACTGCCGGCGAGTCGAGCAGCAATCGCTTGACAAACGCGGCGAGCTGCGCGCTCGAGATGCGCACCGTGATGAAACCCTGCTTGTTCGCAACAACCTCGCTGAACAGCTCGGAGTCCAGCGAGGCGACAATTTTTTCCGCCAGCTGCGCTGCGCAGTTGACGCCGAGCTGCTGCGGCAGCGCGGAGCGCATAAGCGTCAGCGCGCTGTTGCACTGGTAGTCGCCGAATTTCGGGTTCGCGCGAACGACTTGAGCCTCGGCGGCCGCGTTGTGCGGCTGCAGCAGCTGGTCGAGGGCGTGCTGAAATGCGCGTTTGACTGCGAAAAGCAATGAATCGCTGCGCATGTCGAAGGAAAACTAAAAGAAAATTAGCGAAAAACGCCGAGAATCTCGTCCGCCGAGATTATGAACTCTGCACAGTCGGCGTGGTCCGCAAACTTCTTGCCGAAGTGATTGCTCGCAATCAACACGGTCTGCCCTTGCTTGAGCAGCGACTTAGATTTGCCCCCAGCGTCGATAATCTGCTCGTGGCGGCGCGAACCTACGGTGGCTTGCAGCACGTCGGGCTGCGGTTGCGGCAGCAGCTCGAGTCGCGGCTGCGCTGCCGGCTTCGACCTCGGAATGCTGACGAACACGAAGTCGTTGAACGGCGCGAAGCGCGCGAGCGACATTATTTGCGCTAATTTCAAAATTATAAAGCGACCTCGGGCAGTCGCTCGAGTTCGTATTTGTGTTTCGCGACGTACACTATCGGCACGCCAGGAATCTTCCGAAGTCGTAGCTTTAAATTTTTGTCGCTCGTGCCTACGACGTAGCAGCGGTGGTTTGTGACACGGCGAACGATGCAGTCGTCCGCGTAGGTGCCCGGGTGATCGCACGTAAGCCGCACAATGCGCGGGTCGTGCGCAAGCTTCAGCGCGAGCCGGTAACGGTGGCCCATTTTCTCAAGCTCGCCTGCTACGCAGTCAGTCACGTATGGAATGCATTTTGCGAGGAAGCAGTCCATCAAGCCCTGAAATAGGTCGATCTTGTGTTGTATGCTGAAGTTGATAAAGTTCGTGTCTAGCAAAATGCGAAACGGCGGCCCCAACGCGAGATTCGCTTTTAAAAACATCGAAAGCGGAATCTCTTCGATATGGTGCGCTTTGTCGCGACTTTTGCCGGGCGGAGCGGCGCTGCGCTTTGTCGGGACTAGCGCCTGCGAGACTTTGAGCGCCTGCTGCACGCGATCGTCCGACTCACGCAGAATTTTCTGCACCTTTCTTGTCTTCCGGACTCTGCCCATGCTTCTCAAGAGCTGCGACGGTAGTGCTTTCAGTCGAGCTCCGCCGCAGCTAGTACTGCAGTCGCTGCTTCGAAAAATTTAATAGGTTAATAAATGCCGAACTAATAGAGTGAATGCACCGGTCCTTCGGCGAGGTGCCGCGCGCGCTGACTTTTACCAGCTGCTCGATGGAGGCTTGCACGCCTTCGCTGAGTAGATCTTTGACTCTACTTTGAATTGCGGAGCTCAACTTGATTGACTGCGCATCGCCGTCGCGCAGGATGCTGCTTATACGCTTGTTGAACAGCGATGTGTTGCTGCTGGGCGCCGCGCCTTCTGGGTCGAACACCTGCAGAAGCGTGATGGCGACGCTGACCAAAATCTGATCTTCAAACGACATGTGCTCGTGTTTGCAGTTAATGTGAATGATTGACTTGCAAATTGCGTGAATCTGTTTCAGAGAGTCTAGCAAAATCTCGTGTCTGTGCCTCAGCTTACTCAGGCAGCGTTCGTACGCGGCACGGCTCGGCGACGCGTCTCCGAGCAGCACGGCGTCGGGCTGGACGTTAAACAATTTAATTGCGCCGCGCTCTTCCTCGTGCAAGAGCTCGCGCAGGCGCGAGGCGCGGTCGGACGAGGCGTAAGGAGCTGCTTGCACAGCGCTCTCTCTGGTCAAGAGCTGTTGACCGGCTGCTGGCTCGACTGATGACTGTGAAACTTCAGCCTGGGTCGGTTCTGTGTGCGCAGCTTGGCTGTGCGCGCTCTGCAGCAGATTGCTCAGCTCCAAGCCGTGAAACGTGCTCGGCGGGGCGAACAAGCGGGCAGAATCTTCGCGACTCGCTCCACGCGCAAACCCGCTGCCGCTCCGCGCCTTAATCGCTACTCTCTTCGGTAGTTCCTGCAGCGATGCGCTGCGTAATGCGGATGGGATCGCGTTTGGATCGGTTGGCGGCGCATCGAGCGGCACGCGTTCCCCCGCTGGCTCCAGCAGCGTCTCGTCTGGGTAAATCCAGCTGAGCTTTTCCTCGTCGAAGCGCGCTTCGAGTTTTTGAGTGAGAGGGTTTTTCAGGTAAATGTTTCCGTTTTGCTCTACCACCGCGTAGCCGGTGGCTTCGTCGAGATATTCCTTCAAGCTTTCGGCACTGCCCAACGATTTGTGAGGCTCGAGAGCTGCTTCAGCCATCAACTTAGTGTGCAAAAGGCATTTCTCTTATAACGCGGCTAATTTATGACGTGCATGCGTTTACCGTCATGCGGCTTGATGACTGTTGGCTACGCCGCGAACGCCCGCGTCACATTGCATGACATGTCAAACCAATGTCCCAAAACTGATCACATGTGGCAGCCACGTAGCGAGACGCACCAACAAAACGATGAGAAGCCAACACTTCTTCGCTGTTAGCATTTTACTGCTCAACTGTTCTGCTGCGCCTGCGCAGTTTAGCACTGCAGCGGCGGTTCCCGAGCGTCACACACTTGTCACGGACCGCGACGAGGGCTCCGTGGTTGCCGTGAATGTTATGGACCCGATAATGGAAGTCACAAAGCCCGTGGTCCTCGAAAAAACAGTTCCAGTTCCGGTTGAAATCACGAAAAAGATCACTCTCGAGAAAACGGTACCCGTCGAGGTAACGGTCCCGGTTGAGAAGATCGTGACGAAGCCCGTCATCGTCGAAAAGCCTGTTGACCGCGTCGTGACGAAGCGGGTAGTTGTCGAAAAAACCGTTCCGGTCGAAAAGATCGTGACGAAGCCTGTGGTCGTTGAGCGCACAGTGCCTGTGGAGAAGATCGTGACGAAGCCCGTGATCGTTGAGCGCACCGTGCCTGTGGAGAGGATCGTGACGAAGCCCGTGATCGTTGAGAAACCGGTTGAAGTTATCAAAAAGGTACCAGAGCCTTACTCTATTGAGAAAAAGCAGAAGTCGCAAGAAGTCGAGAGGCCAGCTACTAAGATCATTGAGCGCGAGGTTGTCAAGGAAGTTCCACGCCCGACGCAGCCGGAGTTCCACGCGACGGTTTCCGACCTGACCGGTGTGTTCGGCGCCAACCGCAGCATGCGAGCTGAAACCGAAGTTCCTTCGCAGCCGCCCAAAGCAATCGCGACGCCAGGCCCTGCTCTGCCAGAGACTAACGTGACGCGTAAGCCTCTGCAGGACTACAAGCACATGGAAAGCCGCACTGTAAACGGCGTTATGGTCGACAACAACTTGCCAGAGATCAACACTGACGACGTGCTGCCGGAAGAGCCCAACCGCCGACCTGTCAATGACGTTCTCTTTGAGAACAGGCTACCAGAGGAATACGGCGTGCACTACCATTCGCACACGATACTGCCGCCGTCGCCCTCTGTCATGCAGGCTGCGCTGCCGTTCAACAACGCCGAGCGTGCCGCTTCGCACTCGATGGACTTATCGCGCGACGACTTAGTTCTCTTGAGCGAACTTCCTGGAAACGGAGTACTTCCCGCAGTGCAGATCATTGATCGAAGCGGTGCATTATCGAGCAGCACTACGGAGACGGGAGAAAGTGCGACAGACTCGGAAAACAACTCGACCAAGGAGCACACTGACCAGAGCGCTGAGGATGCATCGCGCAGTGAAAACCTGCGAGGGCGTCACTAGATCTCGCTTCACGAACCGCATTTATAAATTTACCTCTATTCATTTACGGGTAGATCGCATCTGCTTGCGAAGCAATGCTAACTGCGTAATTCGCCCCGAATAATTATATGACTTGCAGATTTCTCCAAATCTGTTGTTAACGGACAGTCGGCATGGGTGAATGCGACAACGCGCAAGACTCGACACTCAGGAGAGAAGTGTGGAATGCGTAAGTGTTTACACGCAGCATGCAGCATTCGCTGCGAGGGGCTTTGCGCAATTGAAGTACTTGAAGGCGCGACCGTGCTTTCGGACTTTAGCTACGGCGGACTCGCCACTGTGGCTGATCCGTTTGACGCTGACAAGTTCAACTCTTCGCAGGAGCTGAGTTGCGATTCTGCGAACGAGCAAAGCGGTGACGAGCCGCAAAAGCGGCAGCTGACCGCTGAGCCCCGGAAGCTAGAGTGCGTTGAAGACGCTGCAGCAAAATGCATCTCGAGCCCCACGAATGACAAGTCGAAACGAGAGCTGAGCAGCACGCCGTTAGACAAAGAAACGAGTTTGGCGCGGCTGGATAATGCGCGTGGCCAGCAGTGGCTGTCGCTGTTGGCTTCTTCAAGCAGTCCCATAACCGATGCGCGCGTGCTGGAGCTGGCCGAGGCGAGCCGCGAGCTTGGATTTCCGGGAGCGCTGGCAGATGCAGCGAGTCGTCTCGGCTGGGCGCACGCGAATGCGTTGCAGAGCGTAGTTGTGCCACTCGTTGTGTGGCGCGACTTTCACTTGCTCGTTTCGGCGCAGACGGGCAGCGGGAAGACGGGCATGTTTTTACTCGGCGTGATGGGTCGCTTACTGGTAGACGCGTTTGACTTCAGTTGTTGCTACGCGCTCGTGCTGGCGCCCACGCGCGAGCTTTGTTTGCAAATCAGCTCGGTTGCCGAAGCACTGTCTGCAGGTACGCGAATCACGGTTGCTGCCGCGGTCGGCGGCATGTCGGTGAAGAAGCAGCTGCGCTTGCTGAGGAAAACGCCAAGCATTTTCATCGGCTCGGTGGGCCGTGTGCAGCATCTTTTGAGCGACCCTGAGGTGGCCGAGCAGGTCGATGTGAGCAGAGTGTTCTCGCAGCTGCGTTTCTTGGTAATTGACGAAGTTGACCAGACCGTGACGCAGAAGCTCGGCGCATCTGACAACCCAGTGGCGCAACTGGTGCTGCGAAACAGCGGAGTGAAATGCATCTTCTGCAGCGCGACGTTGGCTTGCGCATTCGCGGACGCGGAAACCGCGCGGCGAGCGACCGCAGCGCCCAGAAAACGCGCGTCTTGGCTTTACCAAAAGTTTTTCGCGCCGGCGCTGCCGAATGTGCTGACCATCGATTTAACGGAGAGCGCGACGAAGTTTTCCGCGGCGCAGCCAGGCGAGGCGCAGCGCGGAGCGAAGCCGGAGAGCGCTCCGGTGCCGGCGTCGGTTTCGTTCATGCTGTGCGTGGGCAAGGAGCAGGAAAAGACGCAGTTGCTGATGCAGGTGCTGTTAGAGACTTTGCAAATCGGAAAGTCGCAGCAGCCTGCAGTCCGCGCGTGCGTTTTCAGTCGCTCGGTTGACTTTACGAACCGACTGTTCAACGTGGCGCGGTACTTCTTCGAGGGTGCGCCTGTGGCGTTGTTTGCGCTGACTTCGCGAAAGAAGCAGAAGACGCGGCTCACGCAGCTGGAGCAATTCGAAAGCAGCGTGCGGAGCGCTGTGCTGTTTTGCACCGACGTGGCAGCGCGCGGTATAGACTTTAATGCGCTGCGTGCCGCTATCAGCGTGCAGCTGCCAGTTGACGAGCTGACGCTGTGGCACCGCTGCGGACGCGTTGGCCGCAGCGGCGTGCGCGGCGACGCAATTTTCGTCTGCTCTGCAGTTGAGGCGGAAAGCTACAAGGCGTACCTCGGAAAGCGAATAGATCTCGCGCGCTGCGCCGCCTACGCGCCGAAATTCAGCGCAGAGCAAACGCGACTTGTCGCCGCGATTGTGCGGTTGGCGGTTGAGCTAGAGGCCGCTGCGCACCAGCGCGGCAAAGTGCGTCGCGAAATCAACGAACTACACGCGCTGGCGCAGAAATGCGATCTGGCGGTCGAAGAGGACGCCACGCTGCTCGCGAGCGAGAAGACGCGGAAGCGGCTTTTCGCGGCCGAGGCGCGCGCAGCGGACGTGCAGACGCTGCAGGCTCAGCTGAAAAGCCTGCGTAAAAAATTGCGGCAGAGCTGCGCTTAATTAATCTAATTTACGGTAGATCATTTAGCGTAAATTGACCGTACGCTGCACAGAGCGAGCCAGCCGCGACGCAGGACAAACGATTTACGCAGATCGTATAATGAGCGATGCGCTTCACATAGGCCGACCATGAAGGAGGAAGACACTTTGAGGACCGAGCTGAAACGCCGGTTTTCAATGAACATCCTACAGCGTATTTGCGCTGTGGAGCAGAAGATCGACTTGCAGCCCGTGTTGCTGCTGGACGACGTGACACTCGCGATTTTCAGCAACTTGTTTCGGAACCACGAGCTGTACGAAGAGGGCATCCACATGATCTGTACAGTCGACGCGTTCGCGATGCTCGGCGACTTTCCGATACTGATTTGCGTGTTGATGCCGTCAGAAACCAACGTCAAGCTGCTTGCGAGTTACCGGCGGCGGCAGAAAGCCGCAGCGGCGAGCGCGGTGCACGTTTTTTGGGCCACGAGCATTTTGAGTCGCGCGGAGCTGCTCGAGTTGCTGGTGAAGAACGACGAACTGCTGGCGGATTTGGTAGATTTTGTGGACCTCGAGATGTGCTTTTCGTTCTATTCGCCTCACAGCGTTAACTTGGGCATCTCGACGCGACTTCTAGAGTTCGGTCCGCTGGACAGGTTGCCGAACGTAGATCTGAAGCACACGCACAACCGAGCTTTTGGCGACTATGTGCAGCGCGCGGCGAGCTTTTTGGTGTCGCTGGGCCTGCGACCGCGTTTCCGCTATCGGTACAAGAGCGCTCTGAGCGCGCTCAACCGGCACTTTTGCGCGGAACTGGAGCGCTACTTGCAGCTTAACTACCCGAGTGTCGTGCAGCTCAGTGGCGTGGCGAACTGCCTGTTCGTGGACCGCAGCGTGGACATGCGCGCGCTGTTCTTGCACGACTGGTGCTTCGAGGGCGCAGTTTTCGACGCCTTCGAGCTGCAAACTACGCTGCTGGACAGCAGCAAAAACGGCCCTGCTGTGAACTGCGTGCAACTAGAGGGGCATGGCGGAAAACCGCGCGCTTGCTACCTGTCGAACGAGGTGTTTCTGTACCGCGCGATCCGCTACTTGCCAATTAGCGAGGCGCTGGACCTACTGCGGAAGCGGCTTGCTGAGCTGCCCAATGGACAGGCTGGCTCGAAGACCGATCTGAAGCAAACCATTGTGTCGGGGCGCTCGAGGCTCAGCGAGGTGCAGGACGTGATGACCAATGTTTCGCTGTACCTGAGGCTCGCGAACCGCTTGCTTGAAAAGCTGAGCGCCGAAAACTTGCTGTCCATTGGCGAGCTCGAGCAAAACATTGTGACGGGACTCGACGCCAAAGGGCGCAACGTCTCCGCACTGAGCGTGCTGGAGGACCTGGCGCGGTACCTCTCAGAGGATCTGCAGATTGCGGACGCGATCAAAGTGCGACTCGTACTGCTCTACTACTACTCGTTCGACGGCGTCACGCAAGAAAACGTGCAGCGCATGCTCGACAGCGCAGGAATTTGCTCGCGACTGAAGGACGCGGTGCGTTCTCTGCTTGCGCTTGACGTGAAGGAGCGCCGCGATGGCTCGGAAGCAGTTGCGGGCAAGCACTCGCACTACTCGCTCGCAAGCCCGCAGTTGCAGCGGGACAACAGAGAGCGCTGCCGCTCTGCGATTTCAGACTTGCACCGCTGGGAGCCGGAGTTGCACTTTCTAGGACAAGCGCTGCTTTCCGGCAACTTGCCACAGAGCGCGTTTCCGTACGTCGACGAGTATAAACCCTCGCGCTCGCAGAGCCGCGAACACAATTGCAACCTGTTCAAAATCGAGGACTGGGACTGGCACGCAGGAGAGTCGAACAACGTGCAGGACGAGACGTACGTGATTTTCGTGACAGGGCCTGTGACCTTCGCAGAGATCCGCGCAATCGAACTGCTGAACGCGCGGACGAACAAGCGGCTGTACCTAGTTGGCAGCGGCGTCTGTGCTCCGCACCTGCTGCTGGAGTAACGCGCCTCTATTTTATTTTCAAATTCTCAGCTGACTGGAAGCCCGCTGGCTGATGGCTAAGTGGGCGCGCAGCAAGCCGGACAAGCGCTGGTGCGCGGCGTGCGAAATGTGGGTGCCAATCGGAGGCGCAAACTTCGCGATGCACGAAGCGTCTAGTTCGCACAAGTTTCGCGTGCGCAACTTGATGCGAACCACTGAAAAGGCGCAAAAACGTGCGCAGCAGCTGACCCGCGTGGGTCTCGCAGTAAAGGCGCGCTTCGGAGCGCTTGACGGCTCTGCGCTGCGCGGAGCTCCGCTCAGCACCGGAGTACCGGATAACGTCGATTCGCGCAGCGCTAGCCGCAGCAAACTGGAAAAGCTTTCCCAGCAATGCGGCGCGTCGTCGCATACGTTGTGCGACGACGCTGCGTGGTACGCGAGCGCTGCGGAGGTCCCGAAAGAAACGCGAAACAATCCGTTATTCCGCAATTCTGCGCTCTGGCAGAAACAACTGGACTTGGTCACGAATAGCCCGTACTATCGTCACGCTGTTCTGGGCGTGTGTCTGCGTACTGCGCCAGATGCAACTGTTTTTGCGACGCCTGCGGTGTCTACGAACGTGCCTAGTCTGGACGGCGCCACAACTACGGCTCGACTCGCGGAACATTCGCCTCCGGCGAACTTCCAGCGCGGCCCAATGTCGTTGCAAACCTTGATGCTCCGCGCGAGCCGCGGTGTGGCGTATGCTCCGTGTGCCGAGTCCTCGGTGCACAGCGTGGTTCAGCAGAGTGATGCGCGCGCGGAGACTGTCGTGTCACCCAGAATGGAATGCGCAGAACAGCGAGCCGCTGATAGCGGAGATCCCGGTGCAGTAAATGGGCCTATTAATATAAAATTTACATCTGACAAGCTGCAGAGCACTGCAGGCAGTCGGAAGCCGGCTCGCCGCAAATTGTAATGAGCGAGCTGTACAGCGCGCTGTTCGCGCAAGCCGCGCTGAGCTCGGAAGACGTAGTCGTTGAAAGTGCGGAGCGCGCGATCGTGCAGACGCCACAGTTTTCGGCGGCGCTGAAGTTAGCGACTCCTCGCGTGAAGGTGTTCGCGCTTACGCTGCACGCGCAGAGCTGCGTGGGTCCTGTAAACGCAAACGAAAACTTTGTCGTACTGCAGCTTTTGGGCACGCGCCGCTCGGCAAAAATGCTCGTGCGCGTCGAAAGCGAGATGTACAAGCTCAAGTTTGAGAGGTACGTTGCGCGGTCGCCGCTGCAGTTTCGTGCTCGTGCGGCCGCACCAAGTGTTTGGCCTGAAAAACTGCAGCAAGGAGAACTCCGAAACCATCAGTCTCGAAGAGTTGAGCAGCTTAGCGATGCCGACAGACGAAGCAGTTCTCGCTCGGTGCGATTGAACCGAGCTTGCAAACTACGGCGTCGCCGAAGTTGAGCGTGAGTAGGTTGCGCTCCGCGTTCAGCTGGCCGGCGAAAAAGCATCGCAAACTAGCGGCCGCGAGACAATTGTTAACGCAGTGCCGCGTAGGGACCGAGCCGCGCAGCTGCGCAGTGATTTCTTCTATCTGAAACAGCGGAAAACCGCGCTCGGCGCACAGCGCGTTCGCCGCGTCGAACGCAAGCTGCGGGTCTAGCGCAGGGTTGCGCGCCACGACCTGCACTGCGGCTCGCGTGCACGAACTTACACAAACAGTCTTCTCGACGCCGAATGCGCGCGGGCACGGAGCATAGCGGCAGCGCGCCGTCCGCGTACAGAGCGATCGAGCACTCGAGACAGCTAGAGTTGTGCTGCGGCGCGACGAGCCGCGCGTGAGCGAAGTTGCCGTCGCTTCCCAAGTCGAGCAGCGCTGCGTGCGCCGGTGCGGCACTTACTTCCCGTCCGCTGCGCGTACAGCTGGTAGTTGAGCCAACGGCGCGTTTCGAGCTGGTCTGCCGCGCATATTACGAGGTCGAACGCGCACAGCTCCGCAGCTGGTAAGTCTTCGACGCGGCAGGCGCGCGCAGCCACGTGCACGTTGAACTTGTGCGCGACGCGCGCAGCGGCGACGAGTGCTTTTTCAGCGGCCACGTCGGCCGCCGTGAACAGCCACTGGTTTTCGAGATTGCGCTCCTCGACCGTGTCCGCGTCGACGACGGTCATCGTGATCTCGCGGCGCGCGGCGAGCATCTCAAGTATGCACGACCCCACGCCGCCTGCGCCGACGACGAGCACAGAGCGCGGCGGGTCAGACATCGGTTCAGCGACGCAATTTACCAAGCGCTATTTTGCGCGAAAATTAGCGGCGGCGCGGTACGTCCGACCGCGTTCCTGCTATCGAGCCACGTCGCAATAGCGCTGCTTGCGAATGTTGAAGGGCACGTAGCGGTGCTCGATCATGTGCGCAATTTGCTTGCGCAGCAGCATAGTCGAGAGAATGATGAAGTAGAGCAGCAACAGCGGCCAGAAGGCGGGCAAGTCGAGGAACGGAATGAACACTGACACCGCAGAAAGCAGCGTGATCACCAGCGTGATTCGCCAAAAGTGGAACTCGGGCAGGGCACGCTCGAACGGCCGGAAATCTT